TCGTTAACGTTTTCTAAAAAAAACTAATAGCGAGATCAAAATGATCGACGATGCAATCGATGTGTATCAATCTGACTTAGAGCTGATTAGATTTTGTTCTAATTCGGTCCAGTGATTTTTTAGTTTTTTTAAGAAAACTTAACTCAATAACGCAATCTAGATGGGAGAATACAAATTTATGAGCGAATAACTAAACGGAAATAAATAATATATATACATATATTATTATTATTATTATTATATTTATGCGTATATAATACATGTATATATACATACAGGGTGCTCTAAAAGTATGGAAACAGTCAAATATTTCCAAAATGGAACATTTGTGGGAAAAATGGTTTAGAGAAATGTTTTAGTATTTCAAAAATTCTATTGAACGATCGTGTTATTTGACCTTCAAAGGACCGGTCAAAGTCACGTCAAGGTCAACATGATTTTTTTAACGGAACACCTCATCTTTTATCATGCACTGTGAAAGCTGGCTATGAGACCTTTTCGAAACACCAGTTTCAAACATTTTTTTTATTCGCGATAGATGGCGCTGTAATCGGAAATCGGGAAGTTCCTTGCGTGGCCCGTTAAGGGTCGCACACAAAATAAACATGAATAGCTATATGAATTAAGCGAGAAACAATAACCAGCTAGTTAAAGTCTGCTTTTAAATAGCCCGGTAGATAAAGTGTGAAGATGTAGAATGGCAGAAGCAATTGCCTGAAAATTTCAAGTCGATCCGCTCAAAGTTGGCGAAGATATATACGACATCGTACGTAGACTTTTACGCGAGAATACATTGACGTTTCGTGTCATCTGTTTCGAATTAGTCCCGTCGGCTGTTACGCAAGTGCACTGTGTATCGGTAGCACGAAACGGCAGTACAAAGCTAGGGAATATGTATCATTACGCAACTTTCTTATCGAACGGGTTGTCTAATAGTGTCTAAAAATGCTACTATCGTTTTCACGCTACACGATAGCTGTGTCCCGTTGAGTCGTGTTTCTTAACGATAACGTCAATTTTATACGATCACTTGTCGGCATATTCCTTCTATTTATCGCGTGGAAAAATGGAAGGAAAAATTATGTAAATCACCTCGATTATTGCAGAAATTCCGCGCAGTAATCGAGGTTCCACCGTGAACCTACTTCCTATACAAACACCGCCGGAGAAAGTATTAATATCGATAGAGCCGCGATGTACGACAAACAAGCAACGAGATAGTTTTAGGCAGCGTACACCTGAGCGTGTATGCGGAAGGCGCTCTCGGGATACGAAGGAGGCATTCTCAGGTAGGCGGATCGAGATAGGTTCAGTGGAAGCTGGAAGAGGTTGGATGCAAAAGGTTTCCGTCGGTAAAAAATTAAAAAAAGGGGGCAGCAGGTGTCGGCACAATTCAACCTCTCAAAGGGAGAGCTCTTAAATTTTTTAACTCAAACATAACGACGGATGATGCACCGTCCCTTATCCTTTGCTCATTCCCTGTGAGAATATAATTTTGTATTTCGGTGCACGCGAATGGAGCATGAGGTTGCTTAAAAAATTTCGCGCGATATATACCGAATATATACGCCAGTAGAAATTGAACGATAGGATTGATGTTACCAAATAAATCTTTCATTCTAAATATATACACGCGTAAAGTTCATTTATATACATATTTACAATGAAACATTCCCTGGAATTCTATTACCATCATTCTATTAAATTGTTTAATAGACCTAACGCAGAGATAAACAACCGAGTTTGGTAAACGTTTATCGGAATTCAGATTAAGAATATCAAATTACCATAAATGATAAGCCAGCGTAACGCGAGTTGCGTTTATAGTATATAAAAAAAAAAAAAGAGGCTACTTTTTTTCCTGTCTCAGTTTGCGTCACTTTTCAAGTTCTTTATCGCGAAATACCATAGCTTGGAGATCAATATCGTGCACTAGAGCTTTTAAAAGCATGGAAGATAAAGAGCACAGCGTTAACCCGATAATATCACGGCGGAATTATTGAAAGTGATTCGCGTGCATTTCTTTTGCAACGATTATTCAACGATTCCTAAAATTTAAATTTTAACCATATATTATACGTTTGACCTATATAACTCTTGAAATGTCTGACTTAATTCGAAATAAGAACCGATAAGTATGCGCATACCTCTCGTTCCTTTAAATGTATTACAATAGTATTAGGTGTAGAAATTAATTCTGTTTCTAAGGTAAATGTATCATTTATTTATAAAGAAAAACCGTGCAACTTTCAAGTTAATTGGAAAACTAAATGTTGAAACAATCCACGTGTAAATAAAGCCACAGAATTCATTTCTACCCGGTGTATGGTAAGAAACATGTACGCGTGTAAAATTAATTAGTTTAACGGAGAAAAATAGTAATGGAGCGTCCAGGGAATAAAAGTAAAATTCCAAATTGCTCCGGAATGCATCAGACATGTGAGCACGAATCAAGACACACTTCAAAGCAACCGAGCACCAAATCCCTTTAGTCAGTCCATTAATTTAACCTGACACATGTAAGAAGCATGTATATCGTTTTTATTCTACGATGACCTCAGGAACCCTCCCTGCCCTCTCTCTCTCTCGACTCAGTCCCACAGATATCATTGTAGATGCAAGTGAAACATTACGATACGTACTCTTCTGTGAGTGACCTACATTCAACGCCAACCACTGTACCGCCCAACGTGACGATTAAAAAATTCGTGCGACGGTTATCAAAATATTCCCGATCCATTGTACGGAGAAAATGCAATAAAAACAAAGACGTAGTAACCACATTTCGTATTTATTATTATTAAGGGGATTATTAAGGGGGGAATCTGGTCCAGCTAATGTATTTTTCTAATGCATCTAACTTCCAGATATAATGAATGTTTGTTATTGAAACTTTTTTTTTACATATAAAGGCACGTTAAAAGAAGAAAATTTAACAGTGTACATTTAATTTGAATGTATACATATGTATAGATGTAGTAGTCGCAAGAAAAGGATTCGGTCAAAACGGTGGAACGCATAGCTCATCAAATTTTTATCCGATTCACTTGATTCAACGCTTAAATTAAAGGTAATTAAGTTTATATGCTCACGAACCTCGGCTCTTAATGAATTATTATTATAGCATAAAGTTATTGCAAAGTAACGACCGACATGTATCGTTCGTTTTCATGTTTATGTCGTCATTTTTCCAATTATCAATTTTTTCTTGCAAATTAAGATTCATACGCATTTTACGTACCTACTAAAGAAACAAATTTTCTAATTTTTTCCTATCAGATGTTTTCCCAGGGCTCCACGTATCCCACAGTTTTCACCGAATTCTTTCCTTGCGACTACTATATCTACAGGGTGTCCCAGCTTTAGTGATACAGCACTCTAACTCCAAAACTATCGCTCGAATGCAAAATTTCAAATATGGAAGTTGCATGATAAAGTGGGGTTCATGTTCCAGCGAAAAGGAGTTTTTGTTAACTTTGTTATGTAACGAGATATGATGGTCAAGTTTCGTTCTTCAATTGGAACTATATATATTTTTTCTACCATGCGATAGTAGTTTCCAAGATAAATTCATTAACCTTTAATGTATTCACCCGCTTTTTATTAGTTTTGAAGATAGGCGGCTTCAAAGTTTGCTAATTTTCAAGGAAAAAACTCGGTTCGGCCCCGAGTGGTCCCATTGATGCGGTAAGCACCATGCGGTTCTTAAAATCGATACGGAGGAAAATGGGAAGAATCTCAAGCGAGACCCTCCGTATATCGATTTTAAGAACCGCATGGTGCTTACTGCATCAATGGAACCGCCGAGATTTTTCCTCGAAAATTAGCAAACTTTGAAGCGTTATAGCTTGAAAACTAATAAAAATCGGGTAAGTACATTAAAGCTTAATAAATTCGTCTTGAAAAGTACTATCGCATGGTATCAAACAAAATATATAGTTCCATTTGAAAAACGAAACTTGACCATCATATCTCGTTAAATAACAAAGTTAACAAAAATTCCATCTCGCTGAAACACGAGCCACACTTTACCATGCAATTTCCATATTCGAAATTTTGCATTCGAATGATAGTTTTGAAGTTAGAGCGCTGTATCACTAAGACTGGGACACCCTGTATATATGTATACATTCAAATTAAATCTACACTGTCAAATTTTCTTCTTTGAAAGGTCCTTTATATATATATATAAAAGTTTCAATAACAAAAATTAATTATATCTGGAAGTTATATGCATTAGAAAAATACATTAGCTGGACCAGACTCCCTTCTTAAGAGTCATTCGAATCACGAAAAATGCCCGAAACCGTAACATACCGTAGAAACAGACAATGGCGACTGACGAGAGCCCGAAGGAACCGAGTATAAAACTTTCGCCCGCGTAATTCCTCACTTAAGAGGTTAATTGTGCTAAGCAACTATAGTAACAGTTCCATTTACTTTACATCTTAACTCCCGCAGCGTGGAACACGTGCAAACTCTATAAATACCAGATGTGGGCAAAGTTTCGTTCGAACAATAGATGACGAGTAAAAGGTAATATCCGTTGGTAAATATTCGCGGCGGAATGTGGCCATTTTGACGACACGTGCGCCATCGACGCGTCGGTAAGAAAAATAAAAATAAAAAAGGACCATCGGTCGAAACGAGTAAACGCGTTCGTTCGATATAGGGATGTTCGATTCACCGGAAAGGAATCGATTCTTGAATCGGAATGAGAGAATCGATACCTCCTAAATATCTCGGATACTGAGGCCGAGCGACGGTTATATGTATAGGAAAAAGTTGTTCAAAAGATTGATTTCTACAACATATTTAAAAATCATCGAAATCGATGAGGATCTACCTGTTCTCTCTATAATTACCAAATCGAATACCAAAGAATCGATTGAAAAAATCGATTTTCTAAAGAATCGAATCGGAATCGAACATCCCTAGTTCGATAGAATGACAAACAAGGTCGAAGAGCAAAGGTGAAAATCGAGAGAGGGAGTACTCACCCTGCATTTTCAGCAGCAGCAATGGACATGTGCCTCCTCTCATCGAGGATGGCTGCGGAGTCAAAATGCCGGGGGAGATCCGTGGTAATGGTTTAAAGAGTCACAGACGAACGTTTTCTTGTCACACGATCTGCCACCACCACCACCACCACCACCACCCTTCACCATACCCTCGCACCGCTAACAACGCGCGATATTCACCACTCGACGACGAATGAAACGCACCACTGATGTATCACCACTCGACACTTCCTCAATCCGTCAATGCGCGGGAATATTCGAACCGACGATTTCGTGTACAACCGCGCGATTCGGGATTCGAGTTCCTCGATTCGCGAGTCCGGAAAACGAAACACGCGCGGGTAGAGATGGTAGGCAGGGAGGGAGGGAGAGAGGAAGAAAGTAAAATAAAAGGAAACACAAAAATAATATTTCGTACGAAGTCACCAAACGCGGAGATCAGCGAAGACGAATAGTTTCCTTTCCTCGAGCGACGCTCACACACTGAACGCGTGTTCTTAATCGCATTGTCCTAGCCGTACCCTTCCACTGTGTTTACCGACATTCGGTTCTGTCATTGAAATATTCACGACACTGTCGACCGGGATCACTGCCGCGAAAATATCCCCCAACCGAGTACACTTTTTTTCTTCTTCTCTCTCTCTCTCTCTATTTACTTTCTTGGCACTACGCGTAACTCTTCTTATCGACCGAGCACCGTCACCTTCATTTCCTTCTCACCATCGTCGAACATCGTGTTCACTTTTCGACGTTACTTTCTCACCCACTCGTTCACACTACTCGCGTCCGAGCCAAGACGTTCCCGTGTCGTCTCTTTTTCTCGAGCCGTACGCGTAATCTACCGGCGAAGAATAGAAACCTTAAGCGTCCCTGTCGTTTCCCTTTTTCTCGTTTAAGCCGTCGCTGTCACTGGCCGGGAACGATCGGTTTTCTATTCCCTTTCCAAACGCGGAGTCCCTTGTAAATATTCAGCGACAGGCAATTCTTCCGGAGTTACCAAGGAAAAGACGTCTTCCTCGCAAACGTCGAAGAATTATTATCTCCCTCGAGGATCGTTTCGTTGCGGTCCAACTCCGGAAGCTTGTTTCGTCCTCTTCGGCAAGCTTCCGTTTTGCGGGGTCTCGGGGAGAGCTTCGTAACCTTGTGAATCCTGACAATTAAAACGTTATTAGCGAACGATGTAACGAGCAACGAGTGAAAACGAAATATTACTTTTAAGGAGGCTCTACAGTTACGCTGTAAGTCAATATAGAGTTACTATTGGCGCTTGATTCACGTAGTAGTAGATCCGGCGTAGTATTTCAAATATTACAATTGTTCGCAATTTTATATCAAAATAAAAAACAAATTGTGTTAAGCATTGATTTTTAATCGTTATTATATCTATTATATTTATATTGTATCATAAAGTAATATAAATCAATTATTTTCAGACAAACTACAGTACTGTTTGTATTTGAACGCGCGTTTTCTAACCTCTCGTACAGCGTGTGCCCAGATCACTCACACTATGTCAATAGCAGAAGACAAAACGCATTATCCTAGTATTCTTTAATTTATTATTAAGGCGTCTGGCCACCCTGAGCGTTCGCCAGATGGGTACTAATTCTTAAAAAAAATTCATAAATGCGAAAATATAGAAACAAATATTTTTATGTTTCGACACATACTAAAGAACGGTTTCGCGAACACATGACAAATTTTTTGAGATAACAAAAAAAAAAAACGGCGGCGGTTCGAAAATTTTAGCGAAGGCCCTCGGCACGAAACGCGCGTGGGCTGTCCCATCATTATATACTTTAGGTTGCACGTGAAAAAGAAGAAAAAAAATATTAGATTGTTTCTGGAGTTTGTCGCAAGAGAGTAGCAATTGGATTTTTGCGATTACTTGATTAATTTTTTTTGCTAAGAATAGCATCCCTCTGGCGAGCGCTCAGGGTGGCCAGACGACTTAATGTGAATTTCCAACGAGAATAATGTAACACAAGCAATTTAAAGGAAACGCTACCGTAGGTACAATTATCCCCACATGTACGACTTTTCGATATTTTTACAATGCATCCGCGGATAACATAGTAAAGTGAGACCGATGAAATAAAATCATCATCTGTAAAATTCGCGCTCGTGAAAAATTAATACTATTCGATTTTTATTATGTTCGTCGTCCTCCTGTCGTTCTAATGCGACACTAACAATCCCAAAAAATACAGATATATAATGACCGCGTCCGAAACGAAACCGGGGGTATTTTTATCGATTCTTCGACGTATAGGTGTGACCAAGTTCAATATCGTGCGACAGCCGAATGTCCCGTTTCACGGAGTTATCGTCATCTATTTTTACCGTTCCAGATAATAAGCGGATTATATACTTAATGGAGTTAATTCGAAAATCTTTTACAAGCGGGAAATATTGGTCGAGCCGAGGACCGTTTATTGCTGTATCATAATCTCGCGCATCACATGGCGTCGCACTTGACGCACTACTAATACAATGCTCCGTATACGCGCATGTCCACACCCCATTCTGCTTCCAAACATATGTAGAACGAGGCACGTTTAGGAAAAGTTGATCGATATCGTCGACGACGCTTAACCCTTTCATTCCCACTGTAACCATATGGCTAAGCATTTTGAATAATTTCACAAACTGTTACTGCCATCTATATCTTCGAATCAATGAATACGCATCCGTTTCCTTCGGTCTTGAAAAATTCGTTTCACTTTAAATGCCATTACGATACAGCGACAAGTGTTACTGTAACCGAAGCTTCGAAATCTATATAACTTCGTCGCGATAAGAACTATGCAATGCAAAATACGCGTACATATTTGCAGTGGAAACAACACGATAACGATTCTCAAACGTTTAAAATGTTCAATTATTTTCATCAATTTATTACTTGCCACTTGATACGAATATAAAAATATCCTATCTTTCGAGTCTTCGAGAATTTCAGAACGAAAGGGTTAAGCTGACAGCTCGAGATAAACACGCGAAAATATATTCGCGGGGAACAGTAGCGAAATATTCGCGCGATAAAGTTCTTTTACATAAAGATTAAGAATCATATTAATGCGTAAAAACGGTAAACATCGAAACAACGTTCTCGCTGTGTATCCATTTATCGTTCATCTCTGTCACTCGCGATTGTTACGTGTCACACGTGAACGAAAAATTCTATTAAACGATTGAAATACCCGTGATAAAGTACTCTTATTTTTCGTTATTATTCCTATCACCGACTTTGTTTCGCTTTCTCGTCTGCTATCGTCGCACGATGAAAAGAGAAACAAGTTTTCTACAGGCTTAACCTCTCGATACAATTATTCGAGTTAATTCTATGTAAAGACGTCACGGATAAAAAGAAAAGAAAATAAATATATCAAAGAAATCATTCACTCGATTGCTTCTCCCATCTTTTACCGCCTAATTTTTCTATCGTCTCCTTCGACCTCGATCTTTAAGGTTATGAAACCACGAATAATCGAATCGAATACATCTTTCGCCACGAGTAGCCGTACTCGTGCGCGTTCGAACGAAACGTTCAAGGATCCGTCGATAGTCTCGTAGAAGGAACGATGTAACCGTCGGTTAATTCGATGTTAACCCTTAGCAATGGTTCTCGATAACACGAAGAGGAAACGTTTCATCTCGCTTCGAATAGAAAGCTTGTCGCGTAGCGCGACCGAAAGCGCGAGCAAGTATGCGCGCGCGCGACCGCCAGACACGGCGCGTACAGCGAAGCGCGACGAACTTGACTCTCAAAGCAGTGGACCGTCCGACAAGTTAATAAAAACGGAACGCGGAGACCCCACTTTCTTATTATTGCACGAAACAACGTACACCCGCAGCCATGTCACAGACACACGCGCAATCCCGTGCTTACGATCAAAAAAAATTCACACGTAACAGTAGCGAGGAAAAATGTCGAACGATAAACACAAAATTATTACACTAACCGGTTCGATTGGGATAAAACTTGTCCATCCATCGGTGTCGGTCCATTCAAGGTCCTCCCTCGCCTCTTCGTTGAATTTCGCCGATTCTGTATCACGAGCCGCCCGAGAAGGATTTTATATTATTTATCATGGTCGCGTAAATCCCTCTTTCTTTCCATTCGGAAAGTTCACGACGGCAGGTTCTTGAGCTCAGCTTTCCGTAGAAAAACACAACGGGGCGCCACGAGATGTAGACACTTCTCTCTCTCGCTCTTTCTCCGTCTTCTTTATTCGATTTCACAGCTTTGTCTTGCACGTGTCGTGAAAACGTGAAATCCCTCGCAAGCACGGGCCACAAAAACAACGACGTTCGAGAAAAGTCGATCCGTCGTGTATCTCGGAACGTCCGGGGCACACACTGACTCGTCTTTTCCCGTGTAATACCTGGGCATGTAATGTTTTATAAAGCGAAAGGCTCGCAAGCGCGTACCAGACGTGTGCAAGTGTGAAATGTCCTCCGTGTATACGTCTCTTACGCCTCACTCCTTTTCTCTAACACCGTTCTCTCGATATCAAACATATATACGCTTCTGTATATATATATATATATATATATATTAACATGTATATATATACATATACATATATATGTATATCTCTTTCTTTCTTTCTTATCTTCACAGTTTCCGTTCTTTCTCCTCTATCTTTCGTGATCACGCTGTTTCCCTCTTCTTCGAGCTCTATCGGTTTCGCTCGTGTGCACGGCCCTATACGTGTTCGCACGTAGTATACTGCACGCAGCTACGCAGGCCGTCCGTGTATAGTATACACTGTATACGGACACGAGTGGCAGGCGCGCGCGCGCCAGTGTTTGCGTTCGTGTGTGCACTTGATTAGCCGTGTGACGTCAGGGCACGGTTACATCGCTCGCGATTGTCACTCAAATCGACGAGCAAAATCGCACCGGAATTCCAAAGCGGGAAAAGGTGGTCGAAGACACGCAGACGAAACCTCGGACCGCGAAACGACGGACGATCCCGTCGCGGAACGGCTAAAGGCGGCGGCGAGCCTTCGCGCAAACCACCCGCGGTATTCGTGAAACGACTGACTCCATGCAACGATTGCAGTCGTACAGAAGACGGGAGGTGTTCCGGTAGGTGGCAGCACCATTTATCGCGAGGGGGCTCCGGCGGCCGTACTGCGCTCCGCGTACCGCAACTCATCGAGTACCGTCGAATTTTCACGACGATTACCGAGCCTCGCCGAGAGGAAACGACCGGGCACGAACGATTCAATATCAAGTGCACGACCCCTCTCCGTTCCGACGGCCGACGGACGACGAGCACATGGAACGAGACGAATACAACGACGCACATCCATCGGCTTTATTTGTAAATTTATTCCTTTATCGCTTGATCGAATAACGCGTGCATTCCTTTCTTATCGGTATTCGTTTCTCTATTACGAAGAAAAAGTATCGTCCTATGTCGTAAAATGAAACTTCACGAAGCTTGATGCATATTACTTATTTAGTTCGATAACGGGCAAATTGTCAAGCTAATTTAAACGATGAGTATATGTAACAAAGAAGGATAACTAATACATTTATTAGTCGACGATTGTATTTTTCGACAACTTTTCTTCTTATTTGTATCGTAATTATCGAAAGAACGGTATCGAATATATCTTTACTCTTATTCGTCACATTAAGTTTTCAAGATATTTATCAGTGTACATACATTTACTTTGCGAATTTATTTTTCATAGCGTTCCCAACAATTTTTATACATAGGGGTCAGGAGAATTTATTAACATTAAAAATACATTTATGTATATTATTCACACTGATAGTTTCTTTAACTTTGCTAATATGCTCGAGTTTTTTTTTTTTTTTTTTTTTTTTGATTCTACGATTTTGTTTTTATACATTCACCTTCTTGTGGTAAATAAACTGTATGGTTTATTGATTGTCCTTGATTTATCATTCTGTATTTATGTATTCGGATAAAAATGGTAAGATGTTAGGACAGTTTTCCTTTGCCAATTGTTCTGCACTTTGTTGATTGTTACTCAACAATGTTAAGTTTGTGCATGGTATCAAAAGTTTGCAAACAGACTCCGAACGAGCTATAAATGCTCTATGTAAAGCAGTGTAACCATCTACATCTTTTAAATTAGAGTCTGCGCCGGATTTCAATAAAAGTTGAACAATGTTAACGTGACCTTGCATTGCTGCTCTATGCAGAGCAGTAGCGTGCCCACAATGAGTCCGTGCATTAACTTTCGCATCGTTCTCCAACAATATTTTGCACATTTCGTAATGTCCGTTTCGAGATGCGTAATGTAAAGCTGTATATCCCGCGGAATCTTCGACATTGGCTGAAATACCTTTCTTCAGCAAGGTTTTCACACGGTCCAAATCGTTATATTGCGCTAAAAATTACATAATTTCAGAACAAGTCCTCTACAACATGTTTACAAGAGTCAATAACATCAGTTACACTTTAATTGTTTACCTGCATACCATATACCACGTTCAAACTCCATTTCTACGAGAGATTGACGAATACCGAGGTCGTTACCCGAACTGCAGCATACATTCTGATCATTATGTCCATGACTGTGTTCCATGTTTATCGTGTGCGTAGTCACGAGTATCTGAATAAATCTCACCTGCCTAACATTTCACCAAAAAAGTAGAGGTTACACTTAACCTTTTTAAAAGAAATATAAACTCGAGCCACGAAGAAAGTGTTAGAAAATATTCTTAGATTATGGTACGTCGTTATATTCTTTAATTAATCAACATTCATTGTCAATATGCAAAATATGCAAAAATTGTCTACACCGTTGTGTACACAATTTTATAATTCGTAAGAATATTGAAAATGCCTATGAAAATAAGGCCGTTACAGAAAATCGGCCTTTATACAATAATATTATTTTTCAATTACTTTGTATATAAGTAGAGCACTTTAATTAATTGCTACAAGTTGTTTCACATCGACAAGCGTAATGCTGCGCTAACAATTACTGCCTTATTGATTAATATATTAATCCAATAAATGCTAGTCGCAATAAAAATTCTTTTATCATACTACATAATATTAACAATAGTTTTGATTCCGTATATTTCATATCAATATAAGGATTACAAATATATACTCAAAAAACAATAATACGAAACGGTATGATTCGATCGTAAAAATAGCTGGGTATAAAATGCCTTAAAATTGTTTAAACACAAGGCAGATTAATATATTGCACTATGTTTTCGCGAATCTTGATTCTGTGTAAATTAAAAGAGATTAAATAAAATTTAAAATTATTATTTTTGTTATATGTGCAAATAACGTTACATAATTCTACTCGCGTATCTATCCGTTCGATAATTGCTTTTCATGCCACTTTACATGTCGGATAAATGAACGGCCGTAACAAAATACTTTAATCGGAGGAAATGTAGAAAATGTCATAAATTGTACCCGTACAGTCTTATCATTGTCGTAATTTTGTTATTAATTGTTATCGAAGTAGAAAACAATCTATGGACTCGATTATTGTAATTTAAGTATAAAACAATACAAAATAACTGCAATTTACTGTCAACTACATTTTTACGAATTTACGAAAATCGGTAAAAATCATTCTTGTACGTCTATTTATATAAATTCATCCTATAAAAGGCACATATCCCTAAAGGAAGTTTGAAAAGTATCGATCGAAATACAATAACAAAAATGAACACACTAATTCGCATATCCGTGTGTTCTGTGTATGCATTTTTGGTAAATAATTTAATACTTCGTTAATAATGGACAACTGCACCTGCATAATTTAAATATGCATGTACATATCTGTCTGTCAAATTTTAATACTGAGAACAATTGTTGATCTTATAGCTCTCTTTGCAGAGTCCAGAGTATCTCGGCCTCTCCTGTACTACAGATAACTCGATATCCTAACTCTGCCAGGGCATTAATGATGCAAAAAGGTGGTCCTGAAATAAATTTCGTGTCATAAATTAAGAGATTTCAATTAATATTCATATGTACAAAGACTTTGATTTGAAACATATCGAGCTTCTTAAGTCACGTAAATTTTTACACGAAGAAAATGTAGCAATTAAACTACATTAACTTTTTAAACAAAATGTATATAAAAATGGTTGATGTTAACCTTTGATCATAACGCCGTTGACCACATCTGTACCAGAGTTTGGAAAGCGCTTGGAGAGAGCCAAAATTTCGTCCGAATTTAAGCCGAAGACAACACAATCACTCGCAAAAGGGGATGCTTTTACGCCGACGTAATAGTAATTCTCGTCGCTCATTACGGTGGTTAATTTTGCGGCTGTAGCATTCCCTGATTGCGACATTGTTGAACTGAAAGGGTTGTTAGACTTCGTTGTCTTTTACTGTTAAAAGAAAAATATTATGTCTATGGTATTATTGCAAAAACATCTAACCTAATCTCATACCGTCGGATATCATTTTTCTCGTGTCACCCTTGTGTAAACAGAATCTTGCGTTCTATTTTTTAATCTCTTATTTTATGTACTTTAACTAATGAAAAAAATTAATGTTCTTGATAGACATTATTACTCGAATATATACTTATTTATAAGTTACAAAAGAGGAAAGAAGTCAACATAATATGTGCATTGTTCGTTACTTTTAATGACATCAAAAATTTATTTATCTAAAATACTACTTCAACAACATTACTCAAGAAATACACAGTATAAATGAAAACTAGTTTTTCAAATACATAAAGATTAATCGAGATGTATATGGATTTTTATCATTTGTATAAAACTGTTTTAATATTAGCTTCATTTACAAATTGGATTATACATACTAAAATATAAAAAATAAATTTAAATTTATTATACTATAAAATACAAACAACAAATTTGAATGTTTATAAAAGCACATTAGTACATTCTTCTTTTATTCGCATGGTTCAGTGCAGTTAAAAGATATTTTCCAATTGTTAAATGAAAACTTTCGATAAAAAATTATTTATAAACATAAGTCATATTCTTTACACAGCATATAATATATTTTTATATATTCTGTTGCTATCTTTTTGTGCATTTTGTTTGAATAGGAATGGTTTCATCTTCTATAAAAATCTGTTTCTATACTTCAGAGATGCGATAATATTGTTCATTATCAGTAGATATAAGTCATTATTTACAATTGGTTACACCACATGTGAAATTGTCCTTGTTCTATTATGTTCAATGGCTTGTTTTTCTCGTTCTTCTTTAAGTTGCATCATACGGGTTTCATGTGCCCAACGAACTTCAGTTTGAATTTTATCTCTTTCATACTCCCATTGGAACCTTTCTAATTCCAATGTTTTACGTCGTAATTCCAATTCTGCAGCTCTTCTTAAGGCACGTCTTTCTAATAACTGCTCCTGGTATATTTTGCTTTGCAAAGGTGAACAATCGGATGCATGCATGGAAGAAATTGGCCATTGAGATATTCTTCTAGGATTATACGATTTCCTCTGATGAACCAAACCTGTCCTTTCCTCAGGTCCAGCTATATGACATATTCAAAAATTCCTTAAACATTTGTATTAAATAACTCTCTGAGATCTAATTGTATTATGTAATCCATCTAAATGTAACCTAAAACTAAGTTTATAACTTAGAACTTTGGTAAGAGAAGATCTTTTCATATTACCAGGTACAACAGATCCAGTATCATTCTGATTTGTTTCCCAATTCCTATTGACTGAACTTGTATCCGTATCATTGTTTTCGACTGTGCTATTTCGATTTGCCCAAGTTTGCTCTGTATTTTGTATCACCAGATCCATATTTTGTTGTACTATATTAGATGCTTCATTCGAATAAGACTGATTTCTATAATTCCAATCATCCAAATCATCCAATTCATTATCAGTTATACTGTGATCTACAGATGATTCCTGCTTTGGCCAACCATTGTTTATTTTATTATCAAGATTGTTAGCTTTATGTTTCTTGTTATGAGCTACTTGTATGAATTGTTGTTTGATATCTTCTGGGCACTTTGGACACCTTTCCATATGTCGTTCCATTCGAGTAGCATTCTGAATATACGACTGATTGCAAAATTTACAAAATGCAATCACCTGAGAACCAGCCATCTTCTTATCGTAATAATTCCACACAATTCCACGTTTTTTTACCATGATTTACTTGCAATATTTCACACTATGCACTTCTTATATTTTGTTATTTTTTCAGTTGGCATACAAATATTATTTAATATAATAAAAAGTAAATGTCCCTTTTTTTATTGTAAATATTACATTATATATTGTTCTTATACGGAATCAAAACTAAAATACATTCTACTAGTATACAATACAATAAACACGAAACTTGAGAAGTACCAAAATTTTAATACAATATAATTTTGCACTATGATCATAGATACATTAAAAGCACAGCATAAAACATGTAATTCAAATTTTAGTAACTTATAAATCACCGTAAGATGAACTTTCAAATGTATTCTTTTTAAATTATTTCTCAAGGTCACTTTTATAACTTCAATTTAACAAGTTTACTCTCCGAAAAAAGAGAGCAATAATCGTACAATTAAACATTTCACGTTTCTAATCAAGATTAATAGAAATTAATAATGTGGAGAGAATCTGGTGGTACTGATTTACGCAATAACAAAAGCTTTATGCGTACATCACATTAAATAATACACGGTATACGTCACTATCAGATAAAACAATCGTTATTTAATACGAAGCATTTGATCTGTCATATCTGGCATCAAATTAAAATGTCAGTTACCACCACACATAACCTGTATAAAAACATACTCGTGTTTCTTGGCATTCCTACGAGAATAATGTGCTGCCAACGAACACTAAACAAGTCTCTTATAGTTCGTTATATTTTATAAGATATATTAAAATCTCGTATAAATTGGTAAATCTCAATGATCGTACAAAAAACACCTGTTCAAAGATACGAAAGTTACACTATAACCGTATCATACGAAACATTAACGTTAGAACTTTAATCAACGTTCTACAAGTAGAGAACTCTAACAGAAAAGTACGAAAACGAATAAACAAGTCGGTAAAAAAAGAATATCAGATTGTAATTTGATTACGATATGTATTCAATATCATTTACGTTTTAAAAAAATAAAAAAAAAAAAAAATTATTGTAATGCTTAATCTTTTACACACACATACACACATGGATATTTGATAACATTCTTTCCTCTTGTTTTTAACTTAAATAGTACCACATCATGTGGTTACTTCGTCAAATTTATAAAATTCTAATTTTCAGGTAAAAAAATAAATATAATAAACCCATTCATCTTTTACACAAGGAAAACCACATATACTATTTATTCGATGTATAACGAATTCGATCGTACAATCGAAACGATAATAATCAATAGTACATCATACCTGCCTTAATAACAGGTTCGGGTTCAGGCTCGGTAAAATCTTTTCTCATAGTCCACATGTATTCATTATAGTCTTGTTTAACACTGGTACTCGAGGATGCGACGACTTTATAACCAAGAACCTCTAAAGCTGTTAATATCACACAAGGATGTTGCAAGTATACTATTGTCGAGTCATCGCAATATCCCCCAGAAGCAAAACGAGTCAGTTGTTCTATGTCTGATGCTACAACACAATTATTTTAAATCATTCGTTTTCAACGATTCGATTCTTACGTACACCATATATATTGAAACCGACGAAAGTCAAAGAAGGCTTCAATGTTTCGAACGAAAAATTCCGTACTCGATTTCGAATCATGATCTACGTGATTCACTTTATCTCTTTATCGTATCAGATCGTATGTTTATAAAAAAAAAAAGAAAACTATAAATCACTGATAACACACGCGTAATATCGTGATTCATACAGAAATTCGATTTTAAAATAAATCGTTGATAGAACGAACGCAATTTGTCATAACCAATCACCATTTTTATTTAACGACAAATTATATTTAATATTTGATAGTTTTTAGACGAGGAATTGGAAAACAATAATTCGAAAATATTCGAAAAAATTATAAGTAATAGAAACAGTATGAATGAATGAAAATGATTCTTGCGTTATATTTCTGAAAACAAATTTCTTTTTGCAAAGGAATATCTTTTTAACCTCTTTTTCATATAATGGGTTTACGAAATTTATATGTAAGATATACTATCAAATTATTTTACAGTAAAGCAGGAAGCATGATTAAATTTTGTTCACTGATAATACATCTTGCTGTATTGAATTACTTATTGTTACATATTAAATGTTCTAGTTATAACTTTACTTCCAACTTGATTTAATGTACTGTGCTGCGCATGTAGTACCAAATTTCTGAATCCATTATAATATTAATGAACAAAAATGAATGATGGTAAAAAGCTCGAACTTCTAAAAAGCACTATACCTTTAAGACCTGATACTAAAACCCTCCATGGATATCTATGACCATATGATGCAAGATTACCACGTACCAAAATGTATGGCATCTGTAATAGTGTTCTACAACAAATTTTGTTATATACTTATTTGAAATATGTTTACATGCAAAGATTTAATCTTGTTTACATTGTAGATATTATTAAGGTGTTAAGCAGCATATACAAGAGTTCAACTTAGAATCTTAAATATTGAAACACACAATATTTTGCATCGACAAATGAAAGAAGTTTCATTTTGTGAAAACGTCTAATATTACAAATAGAACAACTATGAAACGTTTTTCATCAAAGTAAAATCATGCTCTATATGTTTTGATAGATAAAAAGTAACTTGTAACTTATTTATGCTTAAACAAATATAAGAATAATCGAAAAGTTTTCTAGAATTATTTGATTCTCGTATAAATCGAAAATATCCATTGGTTTCTTGTTTTAGAATTAATTGATGTCATTAACCTTAATTAAATAATGTATTAACTTACCTGATAACCAACCAAAATTACCTTAACCAAAAATTTTGTTGTGATTTAACAGTGATTATGAAGAGTGATTGAGAAAACAAACTATTACATCGAGCACTGTCGAGGATTTTCAATCTAAAAGAAGTCTTGTACGTAATTATTTCAAAGTTAAATCTCAATCGCAAAAGAATAGGTGTACGATGCAGCACATACAAAAATTACGAAAGTGCGCATACCCTAAACTATAATCTCTGGTTAACGTTTATAAATTTTGATAATATTAAACAACATGTGTCTGTAATCTTTTTCAATTAAAATTACATGCAATAGTTGTTGTTTAATTGCATTAAAACTTTACAGTGATTGGTTAATTTGGTGCACACAAACAGAATTCACCAATAATCTCATTGGTTAAACGAACACTGATTTAATATCTCATTTTTCTTATAACTAACATAAAATAAAATAAACTAATAAGTCTAGAAAATAATAAAATGGTGAGCGTATGTGTGATTTTGCCAATTTATCATTTTTTTAAATATTTTATTTAATACTGTTTTTTTTTAGCATCAGTGGCGCCATCGGTGGCAAAACGCCCAAGTTTTTAGTGAAATTAGTTCCCAACTATTATTGCTAGATGGCCCCACTAACAAGAGCGACTACAATTACTGCTTCAGATAAATAAAAGCAGATAAATGTTTAAATACTGTATTAAAAGGATATACTGGAGTGACATCAAGCAAAGAATCATATTAATTATGCATTTGTGTGAAATAAAAATTCATTTATAAAAATGTGTCGATGGCGCCATCTAACAGAAACAGCGGGAACTTTTTTTAACTAGAAATTTGGGCATTTTGCCACCGATGGCGCCACTATCTAAAGAGATCGATAATTATTGCTGCAGATAAATGAAAGCAGATAAATGTTTAAAAACTGTATTAAAAGGATATACTGGAGTGTCATTAAGCAAAGAATCGTGTTAATTATGCATTTATGTGAAATAATAATTAATTAATAAAAATGTGTTGATGGCGCCATCTAACAAAAACAGCGGGAACTTTTTTAACAAGAAACTTGGGCGTTTTGCCACCGATGGCGCCACTAACTAAAAAGATCGATAATTATTGCTGTACTAAATAATATTACACAAAAATGATAAATTTACTACATTAACTAACATGTAGAAGTTGATTTCATTAAATTATCGATTGAATATTAAACTAATTGAAGGAACACACATAGACGATTAGTAGTAGATGCCGGTCAGCATGTTGTACTTTCATGTTTGTAAATTGATTGTTGCAATAAAACATGTAGTTATTCGAAATGCAATTATTTTATAAACAATTTCGTATACTTGCTTATGTATATTAACACAATAAATGATTACTTTCTTCTCATTGTAATTGTTTTTGTAATAAAAGCGGGAAAGAGGGAAAGGAGAAAAAGAAATAGATTAAATCAAAGTCAGAGAATAGAAGATATTTTTGTTAGGTGAAGATTCTACCTGGAGAAATTGTTATTTATGTAAATATGCTAACGATATATAATAACAACAGATGAATTGGTGTAATTCAATTATGAATATTATTTAGTTGCTAAACGATACACTAGCGCTACCAGAACGGAACGCGTTGATCGGAACGTTGTATGTTGTATATTGTACAGTTTCCAGTAAGCCGCGTCGTCAGTTCGATAAAGTCTACAGCATTTTCGAAGAGGAGAGCGATAGGTATTGAATGTGGTATCAAATGTGCCTTCGATCGAACGTAATTATTCTTGAAATACGAGTTTAATACTGGAAAAAGATTTGCTCGATTTTATAAATAACGTCTAACAAAGAAGATGGAAAAAACAGAAGAGAACGAGCATAATGCGTTGAGACAAATTTTGAGTGACAAAGAATTAACGCAAATTCCGGAAGGAAGTGTTAAGAAATTAAACACGTATTTCAATGAAAAATTTGAACAATATATAACGGCTAAAGCAGTTTTCGAAACAAATAGGAAAAATTATGGTAAGCTTCAATTGAATTTTATACCGTTTTCTGAGATAACGATTGCCCGGTTTATTTACACGAAGGAGTTAACCTTTATTCGGGAGGATATACCGTGATCGTTGAATAGTTTAAATAGTATTTACGAATGATATAAACAATTTTTTTCTTTATATACAAACGCTCCTGTTTCATTTCATTCCTCAATATCGAAACGACTCGTATTAGTTAACGTTACAGAAATTTGCATATTTCAAAGAAAGAAAATTTCTATACCTCTGTATCCAAGGTTTATTATTATATATAAAATAAATCTGTCTTTGTTGTCTTCTATACTGAATGCTTAATCCTTTAGACCAAACACTGGAAAAATTACAAAAAGAATTGACTGAAGAAAAATCAAACTTCAAAGAGTGTAAAGAAAAATTAGACTTGGTAGAGAAATACAATGCCGAATTACAAACAAATTTAGATGAAGCAAAGGGTGAAATACAGAAATTACAAGATAATGTTAAAAGGTATTTTTATAAAATACATCTCGTATTGTGCAATTTTAATATCTAATTCGATATTATTTATTATTGCAGATTAGAGAAAGAAAATGTGGATTTACGCAGGCACAGAGATACAATTGTGGATGACAGAGATGCATTGCAATTACAGGTTGAACGACGAGATACAGAAATTGAAAGAATGCACACCGAATTATCTTCCTTAAGTACTCAACTACAAAATGCTGTTGCCGCAAAATGTCAAGCTTTGGCAGAGACAGAGGAAATCCGAAGTCGTGATATGACTCTCGATTTTAAGGAAAAACGGCTAGAGCAAGAAAGAGTCCTTCTTGCGCAACAAATGGCTGGTTTTGAAGAAGAATTAGCGAAAAGAACATCGGAATTGCAGGCAACCAGAGCAGAGGCTTCAGCACGAGCTCTTTTAACAGACACACGTTTGGCACAACGGGACGAAGAATTACGTATCGCTAACGAAGCAATGTCACAATTGCGGGAATCTTATGTTACACTTCAAAAACGATGCGACGAACTTTCTCAAAAATTAGAAGAACAGCGTTCCCATGAAATTTCTATACATGCTTCCTATCGAGAAGAAATTAGTGCTCAAACTAGACTTGCTGATCTGTACAAAGGAATGGCCGACGAAGCCAATGCGAAAGCTGAAGAATTTAGTAATGCAGTTAAAGAACTTCAGGAATTACTTGAACACGCCACCGAACAATATGGAACGTTAGAGACTACACATAATCAACTTCAGTTACAGCATAAAGAAAATCTGGAAGAAAAAGAACAAAAAATAGATGAACTTTCAAAAGAACTGGATCATGCAAATGAATTACTTAAAAATATTAAACAAGAGAGATTGGATCAAGCGGTTGAACAACTTGCACCAACAGCAGCCATAGCTAGTCGTGTGCTTAGAAAAGGTTTGAGTCTTACTCAAATCTATACACAATTAGTCGATGCTACAAATGAATTAACTTCAGAACGTGAAGAAAACGAACGTTTGAAATCTCAAATGGATATAATTTTACGCGAATTAGAAGATAAAGCACCCATTTTACAACAACAACGCGAAGATTATGAAACCGCTATGACTAATATTGCAACTCTCACATCAAGATTAGACGAACTTCTAGCAGAAAATAATAAATTGCAAGAGACGGCAGACGAAGCAAATCGTATTGCTAAACATCATACTAAAGAAAATCAAAGGTTGAAAACAGAATTGTCAGATTTAGCAAGACAAGTATGCTTTCTTTTAAAGGAAGTTCAAGAGAGTAGGAGCGGGACAGTTCTCCACTCGAATGAATTTTCAAGCGCGATGGATGTGGATAATCTTGCATCGTCTGAAATTATTAGTAAGAAACTTGTGACGTTCAAAGACATTGAAGAACTGCAAGAAAATAATCAGAAATTACTATCAATAGTCCGTACCTTATCATCAAGACAGGAAGAAATAGAAAGAGCAACCGACGAAATAAATTCTGGCGAAATGAAAGAGAAATTAGACAAGTATTTAGAACAGTTGGGAGATATGCAAGCCGCGCAAGACAGACAAACAAAAATGTTAGAGGGCCTTTTAAGACAGCGAGACATGTACAAAAATATGTATCAACAGTGTTTGAAGCAGACAAATATGTCTGAAAAGAAGGATCTTCCTATTGTTGAGGAGGACAGTATAAAAGAAGCGGATGGAGAAAAACCTATTAAAGAAGAATCATTTAAACTTACTCAGAATGACGTTAACAAAGAAAAGGAATTAAGCAAGGAGTTAAAAGAATATGAAATTAAATTGAAACAAGTGACAGATGAATTTGATACTTACAGAAAGGAAAGAGCAGCACACGAACGAATGTTAGGAGAAGAAGTTGATAGACTTAGAAAGGAGGCAGAAGCAAGTTCAGCCCGCTGTTGCAGGTTAAAAGCACAATTAGATTCGGCTAACGATAGATTTAATCTTCTACAAG